ACCGGCCCGACGTCCAATCTTCTGACATGTTCCTCCGGTATAACATGATGTTCCTGCTTTAATTGTTTCATCCTGATCGATGCACCCTGCGTCACTCAAAACGCAGATTAAATCATAAACATATATCAAGTAGTTTCATCATCAAAATACGAGATTCAACAAAGTAAGCTCTAGAGGACTCATGCCAGATGAAAACCCGTTCAAGTATGACTCCTGAATAAACTAAAGCTCAAACATACATTGACAATTTGATCAAGACAGGATAAAAATAAAGGATTGTTTACAAGGACAATAAATTCTTATTCCGATTGAAACATTAGCGCTAGAAGCGATTGAAAATTTTATAATTTTATTTATTTATAATCATCAAACCCATTATACATCCATTTTTCAAAACTTAGAAAGAAAATTATGATTTTTTTTATACTTTAAATTATTATTAATTTAAAATTAAAAAAAAAAACAGTGGTTTGAACTCGAACAGTTGGAGGCAGAAGTGTGGGTTCCAGTTCGTCCAATGCTGTTTGGTTTTGGTTTCCAATTTGTAGGAATTATAATCTTGGTTCCAATGATCTTGGAACCATAATCACAGGTCATGTCTATCGTCCATTGGTATCTTGTAGCTCATATGCTACTTCTTTAAATCTGATTTGACAATCTCATAAGGGGGTGGGGGAGATCACACCCCTACTTATATTCTAAACAGATGACGGTTGAATAGATAATGACTCTTCACAATCTATTAAGACTCCTAGTAAATTAAACTATTATTAAAAATAATATAACATCTTCTAAATTAATTATTCTTATTAGTATTATTATTAACAGTTTGAAATCTCAATGGACGCCTTCTGAGTGGGGTCATATGCGCCTAGATTGTGTTTGCAAGAGAAAGTAAAAACATGATCAATTGCAATACCTAGTGTCATTAACCCTATTTAGAGGTCACTGATGATGACACTGATTTGAGCACCACTGTGCGGCTATTCCCGTCTCATCTTCTAGGGTTTGTGAAGAACCCAACCCTTCCTGCTTCCAGTGCAGTCACCATTACTTTGGTGATCACCTCCACCATGCACTTGTTCCCCTTGAACGTAGCCTTTCTGGCCAGATTCCCTCACCTTCGCAGCACTCCTGGCTCAACCAGATCGTTGGCACTGCCCCATTAGTTCATTCCCAACCATGGATCATAACATGCTACTGACACAAGGGAGGGCAGGCCAAATGATCGAGGAAGAAGAAAAGAAGAGACGAGATAGGAAAGCCAATATCAACACGTCACCCTGAAGCGCCAACACCAATATGATAAGAAACGCCTTACCATCGCAGTGCTAATCCAGGCAGTCGAAAGCAACAGCGATATGGGATAAGACGCCGAGAAAGACAGTAGAAAAGAAGTTGTGGCATAGTGCAGATTACAGCGGTGCGAGGTTTGACGGACTGGGCGCCGATGGGTTGACAGCAGGAGCGCAAGAAAGGGATAGAAGAAGAAAATGATGGCAACCTTCACCACTGACATCTCTATCTTCATTCCACCCACACGAGATATAGATGTCGACGGAAAGGACGAGAAGCTTGTTCTACAACGACGGAAGAAGGCAGGGGGAAGACGATGTAGGGAAGGCAGTAACTGAGATGTTGTGCAGCTCTTTCGTATCTCACAAATTCTTTATCATCCCACGGCTGCATTTGACAGGACCAGTGATGATGTGGGTTAACTGATCATCCATAACATGTCTCCGTTGTCTGCCAACTTAATACATTAATACTTTTCTTTCTTTCTTCTCCAGAAAGATGTATTATATATATATATATACATACATATATATATATACATATATATATATATACATACATACATATATATATATACATACATATATATATATACATACATATATATATATACATACATATATATATATACATACATATATATATATATATATACATATATATATATACATACATATATATATATATATATATATATATATATATATATACATACATTTATATTTATATATATATATATATATACATACATATATATATATATACATACATATATATATATATTTTTATATTCATTCATTCCTTCTTAAATTGGATTTCTTCCTAATTTATGAGACTAGTAGTCACCAAAATCAAATTATTTATCATGATATCAGAGGAGTTTTTATATTATGTTTATCTCCTATTTGTTTGCCATACACTTGGGTTCAATTGAAAATTTAATATATAATAGGTAATTTTTTTTAACAATTTAAGCTTTCGAATTAATGAGTTTGAGTACTTTGTCATGTAAATTTACTATGTTTGCATTTTTTATGTGAACAATTAGTTACATATTTAGCACTTTGAGTAGGTAATCCTATATTTTATTCATGGATGATTTCATGATATATTCTTATGAGTGTATAATCTGAAGAAAGAAAATTTCTCTTTTCCCACATTAATGCTCTCCAGACTCCATATTCATAAAAATCTCGTGCATTAGATTGCTCTTTGTAATCAACAATAAACAGTGAATTTTTTTTATTGAGAATATGTTTTTTGAGTTTGACAGGAATATGTATGTGCAATTTCAACAAAAAAAATGGTATTTTTAATTCGATGAAAAGATAAATTCCATGCCATTGCATTTTGTTGTTATGTGATTACAAATTCCACCATAAATCTTTAAGAATGGTTTAAGGGGGAGTGGCGGGGCATTTTGGGAAACCAAAGCAACAAGATCATGCACCTTTACAAAAGGTAATCTAAAGTTTGGCCGCTTTACATTTTGTGCCAAACCAACATGAATATGCCGGTAGAGCCTAAGATTCTCTAACAAATGTAGATCCAGTGAGGGCGGGCAACCCCAACTTACATGAAAGTGATTTGACGGGACTATTCTTATGAATTATGCCTTTAACCATTTTGTTCAAGTTAATATCTTAATTATCTTATGGAAACAAATAACTAATATCGAATATAGTGATGAATAAAGTGGATAGGTCTAGAGGCAGATCATGCCACGAAATATTTTTTTTGATGAGAATGATAATTTTTAAGCAAGAGAGATCACAAAACTCTTCATTTAGTTTTTATATTAAAAATAAAAATTAAATTAGTATATAAGAGTTTGATGAGTGTATTATCCTTGTATTATGGTGTTTGTATTTTTAACTAGTGATTCAAGCTCGATACATTAATGAGTTAATTATCTTGACTTGTGCTTGTACACCTAATTTTAAATTTTAGGTAGGTTTTAGATGAGATTAGATAGTGAATTAATATCATGTGATTCTATGATTTTTTAATTTTTAAAAATTTTCTGCATCATTTTTATTGACACTTTCTTTCCTTTATTTTAGGCCTCTCAGCCTTTTGAACAACTATTTCTAGAGGAAATTCTTTTTTTGCCAAAGCTTTTGGTTTTTTTGCCTTGCTTCACTCTTGTCCATACTATTTTCCCCTCTTACCACATTTCTTACATTTTAATTTCTACGAAACATTATATATCCAATAAAATTGTAAAGTCCATATATTTTCTTCTATCAAATCTCATCCCCCCTGCCATCTACATTTGTGTATAGAATTATGAGATTGAAACTTCCTAAGCCAAACATCCCTTGCTCATCATATAATATTAGAATTATCTATATTCTGTCTCCATGCTCATTAAACCAACAAGAAAAATGTATCATATTTGATACGAAAAACATTTTTCATTAGTCACACTGTGAGAGATGGTCTCTGAGTCATCTAATTCCTGACCAACATAAAATAAACTAGATTTTTTCCTCTTCTTGAACATATCAAATACTCTCTCATGAAAGAAGAATAGTTCCAGTAATGTTCTATCACTCCTAACATGCAGAACCACATTAATTTCTGAATAGTTGTCTTGAAACTATTCTTTACTGATTGTAATTGTCTTGGAAACAAAGCATCAATAGACCACTCCAAATAAAAAATCTGTGTCTAATTACATCAAAGAAACAAAAGAAATCACCATTCTGATCAAAGAAAACATCGAGAAACATCACCATTAATTGTACATGATAAATGCGAATTCCAAGATCAAACTGTGACCGTAATGCTCACAAGAAGAAGTTGGCACTACTTTGAGTCCATTGCCTACCGAGGATGGAAACTCTACCTTTTCGTGCAGGCCTGCACGACTCTACGTGTAAGAGAGCCAACGCAAGTCTCAGTAAACAACGAATGCATGGGAAAGCTACGAAGGTTCGCATCGAACCGTCCATTCCATCATAATCCTTGTCTCAACCACTCGCTTGAAACTAACGGACGGCTTGGGTCAACAATTATCCTGGGAAAGATCATCCAAAGTGTTGACTTCCTCTTTCTTACGTTCAGTGTATTTATTGTACATATCACGGAAAAGATCCACCCCCAACCCTTTCGGCTATACCTCCGACATAGCTTTCACGGCTCTGCAATCCCACAGACCCAATACATATACTGGCCCATAGAATACAATCGACACAGATGACTACAAAAAAGGAAATGACTGCATATGGTTGTAATGTGGTATCGAGTCATATGGACCGGTGTTCGAGTGTGCTGGACAAGGTGGTGGTGCGCTGCCGCTTGATGCCGCCGGCTGCAGTTGGCTCGTCGGTCGACGATGCCCGCTCCATGACGGCTCTGAGCGCGTCCTGGATCGATGCGACGGACTGCTCCGGCTGCTGGTGGTCGGCACCATCTTCTCCGGTGATGACAAGCACGTGCTTGATGCGGCCGCCGAGGGTGGCTATCTCGGCCTTGAGCGTGCGCAGTTTCAGGACCTTGAGGGCTTTGATGAGATCCGGGAGGAGGTCCGACCGGTCGTCGCAGCACAGGGAAGCCCTCACTAGGAACCTGCCATCCTCGTCGTTGGTGGCGTCGACGGTGAGCTCGTCGGTCTCCGTGGGAAGTGGGCTGTCTTCTGCCATCTCCAACGTCTGGCGCTTCAATTCTTTGACGTGTTGGATCACCTCCGCAAGCAACGACGCCTTGTCTGTCTGCACAACAGATTTAGATCAAGTTAAGAGGAAGAAGGAAGTGGGAATTGCTTTCTCTACTTCTGAACTGTACAACCACAGAGGTGAAAGAGAACAGTGGAGGAAGCTAGATGTGCTTGCATGCACGCCTCCACATGGGAATGGAATGGGAGGACGACAAGCTACTGCTACTGAGTTCCTTTATCTGACAGGAGTGCGCATGTATGTCTTTCTTAGGTCCATCGTTTTGCCGGCAGCAACAATCTCATCGCAAGCTTTCTGTGAGTCAGCTCCTCACCTGGTTCCACTTTATCATGTCAACGAAGCGGCTCTTCCACAACACTTGTCCTTCCTCTCCTCCCTCTTCTCTCCCTCCTTCCCACAACACTTAGTACCCCCAAACACACAAAGGACTGCAGTAAATGAGCCGAGTTTTGTCGCATAATGGAATCCTAGGAAAATCTTACTAGATCTCTGTAGTTAATAGCCGAGATATGGAACGATCTCTGTCAATTGTGGATGGAGAATTAAGAAAGATGGTGTAATTATCAGAGATGTAAGTGAAGATCGATTGGTCATGGGGTGTAGTGTATGCTTACTTTGGTGGTGCTGGGGAGCAAGCTGCGCAACCGAGCGAGATGGGTGTTGATGCGCTCGCGGCGTCGTCGCTCGGCCTCGCTGTGACTCTTTGATGCGGCGAGCGCCTTTGCGTCCATGATTTCCTGGGGTGTCATCTTGCCCAGCTCGGCATGAAGACCTGCGAAGGGGGATGAAGACATCAACCCCCGGCCGCGAATCAGTACTTCTGGTCCCATGTAAAGTCCCGCCAATCCCAAGGGGTCCGATGACGACGATCCGAGACCGCCGCCGTCGCACGCGAACTGCAGCGCCGTTGACGCCCGACGTGCATACAAGTCATGGTAGAACGCAGGCAGTGGCGGAGGTGGGAGCGGTGGAAGAGAAGGAAAGAAGCGTTCTTGATCGCGAGCCAGCGCCAAGCTGTTCACGAGCGGAAGCGGCCATGGAAGAACAGCAGCAGCAGCGCTAGCAGCATCAGTCACGATGGATTGGGCTGGAAACATTAGCGAAGCAGCACCTGCTCCAGTTTGGCTGTTGTTGTGGGTGGCGTTGGAGTCATCTTCTTGATAGCCATGGAAGTCGTGGGCCTCACGACCGTTGTCCATTCTTGGACTCTCGAAGCCTGTGAACTCCCCGTGTATATAGTTCTCGCCACGCAGCACGAGCATGCTACAATGATGCCTTTAGAGGGGGTGGAAGAGCTTTTTGTCTTCCCCTTTGGCCTTGTAATCCTTGCGGGAGAAATGAAGGGTACGGCGAAGACCTGTTTTACTTTGCTCTTACGCGATTCGCTCTGCCATTCCCCATGTTCCAAGGGGCTCACCACGTAGACATATTATTACGCTGCTGCAGCTGAGGCCGCTGCTACCGCGACAGAGGAGAGAATAGAGAAAAGGAATAGGAAGGGAAGAAGGGAAAGAAATATATTGGGAGGAAGGAACGCAGATGAATTTAGCCAAAGGGAGAATACAAACCAAAAGATTACAGCGGCCCACGTCGGTCAAGCTCCATGTTCTACCCCTCCCTCTTCCCTCCTTGGCTTTCCAGTTCCACGCTTCTCTTCCTGCTTCCCCAGAACGTAGCAATCATTGTGTCTTGACATACACTCCTCTCTTTCTCTCTCTCACACACTGTTTCTTTCTTTGCAACTGTATCTCTACTTACACAAGCTTCAGTAACGTGATCTCACCGATCTTTGTTTCTCCACCTACACCCTCGTCTGTCTAGAGAGATTCTACAGAGTACTCGACACTGCTTTCTTAAAACGCACACCCTCTCTCTCTCTCTCTCTCTCTCTGGATGCAGCTAAATCTCTCTACTTATACTGGCTTCAGTAACGTGATCTCTCACCTATCTTTTCTTCTTCACATACACCGTTGTTTCTCTAGTGAGATCCTACCGAGTACATGAGATTTGATTTCCTACAACTCTCTCTCTTTCTCACTCTGTCTCAGGTCTTCATCTTCTTCTCTCCCACTGAAGAGAGTTTGTGGAGCTGTTTTATCTGGAAAAGATGTGGGACTGGGAGTGAGTTACTACTAGAATACGGACCGGCAGTGGCTTGGGTGGGCGGGCACATGCGCTTGAGCTGGTCCCCCAGCGCTGGGCCTTTCCATCTCTTTTACCTCCCCATTCAATGATCTGAATGATGTCTCCACCACAAGCAAATGGGGGAGGAAGGCAGGAGAGAGAGAGAGAGAGACGAGGTTGATGATGATGTCAGTGATACCATGGCCTTACGTTGGTAATGGAGGCATTGATTCTTCTGATCTCCTCCAACATTCTTTGTTCCCTGTGTACACCTTGGTGTGGCGATTATGGACTTAGATTGAGCAAATGCATGCAGTGACTGTCCCCCTGCCTTTTGGGCCGATAATTAGTGCCCTCAGTTGCCGACTCAGTGTACTTAATGCTGCATGAGATTGCAATGTCTTAGATCGATTCCGAGAGAGAAAATTTGGGGATGTTTAAACCTTCGTTAATCAGTTTTCTCACCCACCAACAAATTGATTTAGGCTTCTTGATAATAAAACCAATTGATATAGTTTATGATTTAATCTGTGTTTTGAGTGATACGAGACTAACTTCGATTATGAAGAGACAATTAAAGCAAAAAGAATCGACCGGAGTGGAACATGTTAAAAGATTGGATGTTGAGTCGGAGGATCGGTCGATGTGTCGACAGAAGACTTCATGCAATGAGTTCGGGCATTGGGCCTAGAAAAACAGATATTGCACCAAGAAGATCAGAGTTGCGGAGGTCAACATGTCGATTGGGCAAAAGGCCGCAAAAGAGGATGATGCACTGAAGGATTGGACAAAGCGCCGATGAACCGATGACATACCGGGCAACATGTGATTAATATTTTATAATAATTATTTAGATCGAAGTAATTTTAAGTTATAATTGGGTTGAAATTAGGCCAACTAAATTAGGGGCCAATTGGGCCTATGTTGGGGCTATTTTAGGCTAAGAGAAAGGTTCATTCAGTGACCCAAAAGTTGGGTCCGGTGGTGGCATCGCTAGAGGCTTAGTTTTCAAGACAATCTCCGAGAGGTAATAGTACTGCCAGAATGGGTGGTGTTACCACCCAGTGTCAAGCGGTGGTACTACTAGTCTGGGTGGTAGTACCATCCATATATAGTCTCTCAAATTGTGTTAGACAATGGTATCGTCAGTCTGGGTGATAGTATCGCCCAGTGTTAGTGTTACAAGCGGTAGTACCGCCCAACACAAGTGGTGGTACAACTAGGACCCGGGAAACCTAGGATGAGACCTTTTTTGGCTCTATTTTTGAAGTCATTTATGGGTCTCCAAGTTTAGTGAGTCTCTTCCTCCTAGAGTTAGAAGGTATCTATGGGAGGAATGAGGCCTAAAACAAAGAGAGATATAAAGGTTTTCTCCTGAGCCTGTGAAAAGGAGAAAGATGTGTAAAAAGATAATTGATCTTCGCCCATTGAAAGAAGATCGGTAGTGGAAGCTGGTAGCCTCGATGAAGAGGAATCGGAAGTGGATGTAGGTCACGACGACTGAACCACTATAAATCTGGTTTGCATTTACTTTATGCTTTTCATTCATATTACAAACTAATTTACTTATTCACTATGCTTACGAATGCTTTCAGGTTAAACTCATCTTTCCGATATAGGCTTTATCGAACAGAAGTTTTCAAACTGATGTTTTTAATGTAAGCACTGATTCACCCCTGCTCTTAGTGCTGAGTTAATCATAACAGTTAGCATTAGAGCCATGTCTCTCTCGGTTGGATTAACACCCAAGAGATATACTTTTTTCGACTTTCAAGAGGGTCTTTCTATCATTCATCCTCCTATGTTCAATGGGACGGACTACACATATTGGAAAACTAGAATGAGGATTTTCTTGCTTTCTATGAACTTAGATTTATGGAATATTATTGAAAGCGATTTTGAAAAGTCTTCCAAACCAATCAACAAATGGAATGATTTAGAAAAGAAAACTTTCTCTTTGAATACTATAGTGATGAACGCTTTGCTTTTTGCTCTAGATAAAAATGGATTTAATTAGATTTCTATTTGGGAAACTACACATGACATTTGACATACTATTGAAATCACATACGAAGGCACTAGTAGAGTTAAAATGTCTAAAATAAATCTTTTGATGCATGATTTTAAATTATTTTGAATGAAGCCAAGCAAAACTATTGTTGATATGTACACCCGTTTTAAGGATGTCGTTAATAATTTAAATGCACTTGGTAAAAGTTTTTTGAATTTTAAACTTGTTAACAAAGTTTTATAATTACTTTCTAAAAGTTGGGATTCGAAAGTAACTGCAATACAAGAGGCAAAAGACTTAAATAAGTTTTCACTTAAAGAACTTATCGGGTCTTTGATAATCTACAAAATGACTTATGTGGCACATGACGAACTTGAGAACAACCTTCCAAAGAACATGAAAGATTTTATACTTATAACAAAAGAAGACCACTTAAGCGAAAGCTCAAGTGATGATAAACTTAATCTCCTAACAACAAAGTTTAAAAAGTTCAAACAAGAATAAAAAATAAAAAACAAACTTAAAAAGAAGAGGTTGATAAAGAAGAAGACACTTAAGGTGACTTGGGACAAATCGAGTACCTCCGAAGACGAGGAGTAAACCAAAAAGACAAAGTGGTGAACTATGCCTTGGTGGCTCTCGACGATGAGGTAAATGACTCGCCCGAAACATCTTTATTTTACTATGAAATTACTTAATACTTTTCATGAGTTATTTTTAAATTAATTAGTAAAAAATAAAAAATATATAAAAAATATCATTCTCTCTTTCTAGTGATTTTGAAAAAAAAAATTAAAAATTTGATCATGACAATTTGTTAACTCATAGCACTAAGCATGAAAAGTCAGATTCACTTAAAATGAAAAATACATTACTATAACAAACAAAATGATTTTGATTGAAAATACTTTATATTTAATAAAATCATGCTTGATGTTTTAATGATGTAATGATATAATGAAAATGTTAAAAGGTTTGGTATCATGCTTGATGATTTTATATTATGCATGAGGATTTGAAGCAATGATGATTTGAAATCATATGTTTTGGAATTATGTGTTACACTTTTGATCTTGATAATTTTTGTGATAAATCTTGCTCTTTATGATGCATGTCTTGATTTGTCATAAAAGACAAATACATGCTTGTATGAAATAAATCACATAAATTGAAACAACTAAAAAGTGGAAAGTATTTTTCTTGAAAATTTCTCAAAGTCTATCTTATCAAGGTTTTTAATAAAAGATTGATGAATTTATGTTATTTTATGAATCTCTTGAACTAAGAAAGTGATTTTGATTATGTTACAAATTAAATTTGAATGAGTTTTATCCGAATCATGATTTTGATTTCTCAATATATATAACTTGAGAATATTTTTTAAGAATCATGATTTTTCTTACGGATTCTAGGAATTATAACTTGAAATTTTTTAATATATGAATCATGATCTTGACAACTGAAGATTTTTTATAGATGAATTGAGATATTTTATTCTCCTATGTTCCTTTT